TCTTTGTCCCTAAATAAACTTCTCTTTTCCTTTAAAAAACCCCTTTTACCCCTTACTTTTTCATACCCTACCTATCACATTATACCTTTTTACTAATAATCTACATATCACATCTTACTTTAACACATCACATCAAGGGTATTTTTGGAAAGTCAACACCAAAATATCCCTCCCTTAAATCCTCAAAAAGTCAAAAATGGAACTTTATTTAGGGACGGATGGAGTATATAATAACAACAATAGTAATGAATGAATATAAAAAAATGAATAATACGATACAAAGCACGCACTCCATAAATGGTAAGATGAAGTAGAAAAATAATTATTTTACATACTCCCTAGATAGCTTTGAACGATTCGGTCTGTAATAATCAGTTTTAAATTTTTGTATCACGGTCCCGTTAAGTTGGATATCGGTTCGATTTCGATTCGGAGTAGAAAAAATCAAATCCATTTAAAAATACTATAAACTGTTCCGTACCATTACGGTGCGGTATGGTATCATGCTAGTTCGGTTTTTTGCCCATCCATATCTAAAATAATCTAAACTATTAATATATTCTTCTAAAAGCAATCCTATGACCAGTTACAACATTTGATAACAGGTTATATTTTGAATTTCTAATTTGAAGTGCTTTTTTATTACTTATTTGCATATTGTTATCAATTCTTTTTTTTTTCATTTTCAAAAAATAAAAAGAATGAAAAATCTTAACAAAAATACCCCCGCCTTCCCAATCTAGGGTTCACATACATTTAATTTTTTTTCCATAGTAAAAATGTGATCATTAATGTTTATGTTCAAATCCCATCTCACAAAGCCTTTTTACTCTTCTTTTGGATGTCGTAGAAAATTTGTATACGTGGCTCTAAATTTTTATACGTTGTTTATTTTTAAAAATATGGATACGTGGCTCACAATTTTTTTCTTTCATGCAAATAAATTTCAACGTATCCGTTTTCATTTTCAACATCTAAACTCAATGAAGCTTACGCGCGCGCTATGACTTTTTAAGGGAAATAAAATCAGTAGAAGACATTGAAATGAATCAGGAGACATGTGTAACATCTAACCCCACCCGCGTAACCTGAATACATTGACCAGCAAATCGAGTTGTTACCAAATTGGCATCCACACATCATATTTTCAAAACACGACGGTTCGATTAGTCTTTCGCCCCTATACCCAAGTCAGACAAACGATTTACACCTCAGTATCGCTGCGGGCTTCAAAAAAAAATATTTAAATCTCCATCGGAGTATTATAAAACAGTGCGGAAGCTTAAGTACTTAATTCAAAACACAACTTTGGGTTCTTTTCCTTAAAGACATAATAGATTCGAATATAACATTCAATTAAATAAATTCGTTCAGCCATCATCCATTTATCTCTTCACCCTCGCTGCCCTCCAAGATTGTGTCCTTAATTGTCATTTCTTTTATCTACGTGTACTAAGAGAACAAACGCTATACTAGACCTGAAAATCGGCTCAATCGGTTTGGTTCCAGTTTGGGTCTTTTCGGTTCGGGTCTCATTCGGATATATGTTATAATCGGTTCGGGTCGATTCGATTCGGGTCAATTCAGTTCCGGGTTAATTTCGGTTTGACTGGTTTTCGGTTTCGGTTCGGTTTCGGTTCGGGTTTGTATCGGTTCAGGTTTGTATCGGATCGGGTTTATATCGGTTCGGGTTTGTATCGGTTCGGGTTTGTATCGGTTCGAGTTTATATCGATTCGGGTTTGAATCGATTTAGGTTTATATTAGTTCAAATATATATCAAATATTTACTAATAAATCAATAATATCACATAATAAATTTAATCAATTTATGATATACTTTGTAGTTATTTTATTATTTAACACGGACGTACATAAAATTATATTTAATCAATTTCGGGTCTAATCCGTTCCAGGTTTAATCGAGTTCGGGTTTAATCGGTTCGGGTTTAATCATATTCGGATCTGAATCGGGTCTGAATACATTCGGTTCGGGTTCGGTTAAGTTCGGATCATTTCGGGTGTTCGGGTCTATTTCGGTTCTTTAGTTTTTGGGTCAAATCGAGTTTGGTTCCGGGTTATTTGGTTCGGGTCTGGGTCAGTTTTGCCAGGTCTACGCTATACGCACAATATTGCGTCTAACAACCCTTCTCATCTCACTTCATCCATTTCTTACCCTTTCTTCTTCCCATCTATTTCTTACCTTTCACTTCTATTTAATAAAAGAGCTCTTGATTGTTCTTAGAGGTTAAGTTGTGAGTAATAAATTTTGAGAGAAAATACGAGCGAATGATAGGAATCCTGTGAGCTCGTGTGATTTTCTTGGATTTTTATTTCGTGAAGAACAATCATTGAAGCTCAAATTCATTGCATATGCTTGATTCTTCCATTTGAAATTGATTGACATGATTGCATATTGGTCTCATATGTTGACTATATTTTTTTCATTGCTTGAAAACAAATAATGATTTAAGTGTGGGGTAGTTGATAAATTTATTATTTGTGTATATTTGATTATCTTTTACTAGACTTATTGATTTGGACTCTAATATTAATTAGGGTATAGTTGTGCACTATTTTTCAAAAATGTGATCTTGGGATTGATTTATGATGTTTGATTGATTTTAGGGTCCAATTACAAAGAAAAGGTTGAATTGCAAGCAAGACTAAAAGCATGAGGGCACTGGAAATACGTTTGAAGCCCCGGGGCTTCAAACTTTTTTTCTCTGCCACGTCAGCTTTACACCCAAAATTCACTCGAAATGGGTTTGAAGCCCCAGGGCTTCAAACTGATGCTTCAAACCTTCATTTTTTACATTTTTAAATATACATCTTCTAAAATTAAATTAATAAAATGTAATTAATTTATTATTTAATTATATTGAAACACGAATAATAAAAAAAATACATTCATTAAATAAAAAAAAGCGACAATAATAAAAAAAAGATACATTAATAAAAAAACTAAGAAAAATTATATTTCTCCTTGATCTCTTTTATTCTTTGCTCGTAGAGCATTCGTCCAATCTCCGACAACGTCCTGGGGTCGGTTTCCATGACTTTCATCTCAGCCTCCTGCTCCTTTAGCTTCAACTCCTTCTCCTTTAGCTTCAACCTCTCTTGTTCTCGGAGATTGAACGCCCGAAGTTGTTCAACCATTTCCCGGCTGATTTCGTCGTGGGAAGAAGCGGAAACAGAGCCGGACCCTCCCGAACACGAGGCAATGGATTTTGCCTTCTTTCTTCCAATCGGCCGTGGAATGGGGTCCTCGTCATCGAAATTCGCAATGTTGAAGGGAGGGATTTGATCGGTCGAACCGATAGTCTCGTCGACCTCAATCTCGGCGTCGATGGAGGATCTTTTCCAGAATGATCCGCCGTCGGGATTGTTGAGTTGTTGCCACTTCGGGGAACGGCTCAAAATCCTCCAAAGATCGATGGGCACCTTGCCTTGGTACCCGTCGTCTTGATACCGGGCCGTGGCAAGCCGGAGAACATCGGCGTCGTTCGTCCCGCTCCTCCGGGACCGGGAGCATTCCTCGTAAACTCCGATAAACTTTCGGACTTTACGGTTGATGTGGCTTCATTTGGAAGTGAGTTGGTCCCGGGTTCGGTATGAGCCGTCCTTGTTCATCGCCGTGAAGAACTTCTCCTCGATACGATCCCACATCGCATCCTTCGTTTGCTCCGAACCTTTAAAAAAGTATAACACAATTTTTTTTAGACACCATTAAATATAATATATATAAATAAAAACATAAATATATTAGAAAAAATAAATTTTTTACCAATGATAGGATGCTCGGAGACGTCAACCCAAGCCGACGCGAATAAGCACTCCTCCTCCGGCGTGCACTTTTGGATTGACCGTGCCGCCTCGGTCATCGTGCCTTTGGCTTTGTGGCTTTTCCGGCGTGTACTTTTTTTCGACCCGGTCAGTTCCGGTTGAGTCTCCAGAACCGAATCTCGCTCGACGTACCCCGATTGTTGCGTCTCGTAGATCGGCGGTTTATCGCCCTACTCTTGGTAATACCACATTGCGGCGTCGCTTGGCGGGAGATTGTCGAGAAAAAAGCCGGAGCCGGAAGGATTCATGTTGAAAAGAGAGGGGGTGATTTCGAAATTTAAAATTTGGGAAGAAGAAGATTGAAGATGGAGAAGGTGTGAGAGATTGGGAGGGGAGTTTGAATTTATAAGAATTTTTTTTTGGTGTCCAACGGCTATTATAGCCGTTAAGAGGGGAGGGGGAGAGGAATGGCGCAGCGTCATTCGTTTGACACAGGGCTGGTGACGCCCGGGTAACGCCGCCGGGGGCGGTGTTTAACGCCTCCGCGGCGTTAAAACACCCCTAACGCCGGTCGGAGTTATATGTGAGGTTCAATTGCAATTTCCAAAAATCTTCTTTTGATTCTAATTTGAACTGACAAGATTGTCGTTCCTGCTCTCGCGATCGAAGTCCCGACCCGGCGGAAGTGCTTCCTTCTCCTTCAACGGCCAGCAGCAACCCGCCGGCGACTTATCGCAGGGAAAAAAGAACACCAGCAGCGCCGGCAACTGATGGCGTCCAACGGCCTCCATCCTTTCGAACTGACCCCGGCGAGTTCCATCTTAGACGGCGTCCTCTCTAGCGACATTGTTCAATCGAAGCTCGGACCAAATCCCCGACCAGTAGCAACCTGAAGCGACGAACGGCGGTTACCTCCAGATTCCGGGGATGGACGTAGGGGTGTTCATTTATAGGTCTGGACCGGAAAAACCGACCGGACCGGACCGATCGGTCCAGACCGAACCCAGACCGATAGGATTTCGGGTCGGTCTTCGGTCTGAGGTTTTTAGAGTTTCGGGTTTCGGTCCGGTCCGGTCATTACCCGATTTCCAATCGGTCCAGACTGAAAAAGACCGATAACCTCCCTTTCTTATTTTTTTATGTTCCGTTCAAAAATCACAGCCCAACCCTATCCGATACCTAATCGTATCCTGTGTTGCTTGCGGTCTGCCTCAGCCTCACTGCCTCTGCTATTGTTCGACTGCTTCGACACCCTGAGAGAGGAATCGCCGGTTGTAGATTCGCCGATCGTAGTCGTCACTCGTCAGTCGTACTCTTGAGCCCACTGCCCAGCTTCGACTCGGCAACTCCCTCGCCTGAAATACTCAATCGCCGAGAGCCTGAGACGCCGACGCCCTCAATCCCAATTGAATCAGGTACTCATCTCGTCTCCCTCGTCTCCTTCTCTGTAAAGTAGTCTTCCTTTTGCTGTGAAGTCAAATCCTGTTTTACAGGTTTAGGGGAGTTTAGGCCATGGTTATTCCCTTTTATTATTTCTGTGGAAATTGTTGATCTGTACCAAATGAGTGATATTTACAGCTAGTTGATGAAGCGATCAATTGATTGTGCGCAATCACAGTCACAAGAAGTGCCTTCAACGAATGTTTCTCATGACTCTCATGTAGAGACAGTTCAAAATGAAGATACAAGTCTTTCGACAACAGGTGCCTCAAAATCACATATACCACACCCTAACAAAAAACCCAGGCCTGGGCGTCGGTATATTGTGAAAGGACCGAAAAGAAGGGCGGACTACTGGAATGATTATGAGTTGTTCTTAGATGATCAAGATAATGTTCGAGCAGAATGTGTACATTGCGACTCTACTTTTGCTGCTGATTCCGCTCGGAACGGGACCAAAAACTTGAAACTACATCATGCTTGTTGTGAAAAGAATCCACTGAATAAAGGCAAAGGTAAGCAATCTACAATTCACTTAGAACCTATTGATGGTGAGGAAGGAGATGT